CAACTGACACCAACCCTATGAACAAAAGATCTGAACCCTGTGCCATTCTCACATTTCCTGAAATTTTAGAGCCCATTGTGGCAATCATCGTGTCAATCCCCCTGATCAAAGGTCTTCCCCTTTTTCGCTGACCCTCCCCCTTTTGAAGCATCATATTCCTCTCCTAGAAATAATACTTCCTTGCAACAGGCCCAAAGTATATGAGGTGAAGACTTATCATCTTTGCCTTCAAAGAGCACTCTGGTTCCAAGACATATCTGTTTGTTCTCTTGGCCATCCCTGGGATGTTCAGTGCTCTTCTCCAACACCACAGCGGAAAGGCATCAATTCTTTTCCTGTCATCCTTATTGTCCAAATCTCAGATGCATAGCAAATAATTGGAAAGACCATGGCCTGGATCAGGAGCACCTTAGTCCTCAAGCTGACATCATTACTCCTCAGTAATTTAGAGAGGTCCCTAACTGCAGGCTTTCCAGTGCAATACATCTCCCAGTTTCATGAGTGTTGGTACCAAGGGTTTTAATTGTGGGTCCAAGTAAGAGGAAGTAAATCTTTTCACCATCTATCATGATCCTGCCTATCAGTCTAATGGTAGAATCTTTATTTTCCTCATATTGAGATGCAATCCATATTGAAGGCTGTACTCTTTGATTTTTCTGCAACAAATGCTTCAAGTCCTCCTCACTTTCAGCTAGTAAAGTTGTGTCATCTGATAAACATAGGTTATTAGTGAATCTCCCTCCAATCCTGATGCCACATTTCTCTTCAGAGTCCAGGTTCTTGAATGATTTGCTTAGTATACAGATTGAATAACTATGGAGAGAAAATAAAAGCCCGATGCAGTCCCTTCCTGTTTTTAAACCATCTAGTGTTCCCTTGCTCTGTACAATAGCCTTCTGGTCTAGGTATAGGTTTCATATGAGAACAATTAAAGTGCTCTGGGACTCCCATTTTCTCAGTGTTTGCCATAATTTGTAATGATCCACACAGTCAAATGCCATTACATAGTCAATAAAACATAAGAGACTTTTTAAAAAATTTTTTTCTTTCAGCCAAGATCCATCTGATAACAGCAATGATATGCGTGGTCTCATGGCCTCTTTTTTTTTTTTGGTAATTTTTTTATTGTAATAATTTTAATGAACATTTACGAGATTTTGAATTTCCATTGATTCATTGCTGCACTTCTCTCCCGCCCAGTCCCCCCACCCCCCAGTTTGCTCCTCTCTCTGAAAAGTAAAAGAAAAACTCCCTCCCTGGCACACAATCCCCCCGCACCCCTTTCACTGCCCCAAGTACATTCCACTATGCAACCTTAATTGTGGACTCTTGTGATATCATGGCCTCTTCTAAATCCTGCTTGAATTTGTGGCAGTTCCCTATCTATGTACAGTTCTAGATACTTTTGTTTTTTTGTTTTTTTTTTCTATA